TTTATTTATTTATTTTATTTTATTTTATTTTCTGGTACCAGGGAGTGAACTGAGGACCTTTCACTTTCCCGACAGGCGCTTATGCCACTGAGTCCTGCCACACACCCTACCTTATTTATTGACTCATATGGTATTTTGAGATGCAGTCTACTGTCCTGCCTGGCTAGACTCCTTAACTTGTGGTCTGGGTCCTCGTGTGTCCGTCTACAGAGGAGCTGGCACTCAGGGCACCACCGCCACGCCTGGCTCACATCTGACTCTTTAAGTCTTTGAGTCACAGTCTCTCTATGTAGTTCAAGCCAGCTTTGAATTCACTTTGTATTCCAGTGCGGCCTCAAACGCGCAATGATTCTGCTTCAGCCTTCCGAGCGCTGGATTATAGGTGTGTGCCACCATGCCTGGTTTAATCTGACTTAAGAAAACAGCACTTAAGGTATTTTATTTATTTATTCATCTGTGTATCCAGCTAAGCATCTAGATGCTAAGAACAAATGATTTTTCAGATTTTTTGGTGGGCTCCATTTAGCCATTCGGAGAGAGGGATGACCACTTCTAAGCAGGCAAACCTTCCATACACTGGCTATTCCACACTGCAAGGATCTCTAGGAGATTATTCTGCACAGGCCAAATAGCTACACAAATTCCACGTAGGTTAAAGCATCTGCACTTCCAATGAGGCAACACAGAAAGATCTCACGGATTACCTGCTTTAAGTTCACTTCTGAATTATCTGTCCATTTCTTAATCTCAGATGTTCCCAACTCAGAATTAAAACTGTAATATTTAGAGAAATGATTGTTACTCCTTCAAAATATAAACACTGTGATGACAAGCTTTCTTGTCTAAAAATACTCTTGACCATAAGAAAATGAGATCCATTTATCTATTTTTATAAAATGCAGTTTCTAATTATATAACCTGGAAATAGGGTTTTGGATTACATATACTTCTGCCTTTACTCAAATAATAATTAATTTTGGTTAAATATACACTGGGGGAGATGAAAGGTGACTATTACCTCTGTAACATAAATAGAATCATAAAAGGATATGATATGCTGTACTTGCCTTCTTTCCCTCCCGTCTGACAATACCATTACAGTCCATTCCTTAACTTTTGATTGAATATTGAACTTTTAATTTCATTTGAAATTACCTCTTCTCTATACCCACATAGGAGGATATTAGGCTGATACTTTTTTATTTTCTAAAATAATGAAAATCTAGTTCCAGATAAACTGTTTATGTAACACGATAAGATTTGTTTCTCTAATCATTTGGCAAACTTTTAACGAGCATTTATCATGTACCAGGCATAAACATGCATGAAAAGATGACTGAGGCAGATGACAGTCCATTTCCAGACATTATCTCAGCTATTTAAATTATTCCCAGGCAGCTGGGAATAAAGACGTGGGCGTGGGCCTGGGGCAGCTGCGTTTTCTTCCTTTTACTCCATTCTTCTGCCACTTTTAAAACAAATCAATGTGTATATTTACACAAATGCTAACTGATAACATTTTAATCATTCTATAAAAGTATAATATGTAAAAGCATACAAAAGTTTTAAGAGCTATGTTTGAAACAATAAAATATGCAATATTCACCTTTATAAAGAATTTGACAAATTTAATACTATTTGTTCTTTCAACAATTACTCAGATAGTTTCGATGGTACATTTAAAAGAAGTCATACTAATCTCCCTCCAGTCAAAAGGCTGGAGTCAATTCCTTAACTTTTGTCAAAAGGCATTACCAAGGGGCCGGGGAGATGGCTCAGTAAAATAAGTGCTTCCCTGGCAAGCGCAAGGGCCTGAGTTCAATCCCCGGTTCCGCCAAAAAAAAAAAAAAAAAAAAAAGGCAATGCAGGCCTCAAGCCTGATACACACAGGGAATCCAACAGAAGGCGAGAACACTGTGCAGCTCAGTTCCATTTCGTTTCCTGGGGTTACCATTGGTTGTTAACGTGCCGTACCTGCTTAATTCAGTCTGGGTCTCAGCCTCAATCTGTGGACCTGTGAAGTCCTTTCTTCTTTTGGCAGGTGTGTAATATCGATACTGTGACAGGAAAGATTTTGCTTCTGTTTTTAAAGTGCGTGGCATGAATGGCAACTGCTTGTTAGAAAAGCAGTCGGCGTGTTTTTCTAGCAGATCCCCACTGGCAGCTTTTGAGATGACCACCTCAATCCGGTGGGAGCTGGGGAAGGCGCTCCTGGGCCGCAGGCCACGCATGGTGCCCGGGCCTGGGCTCCTGGGACCGGACGTTAGGCAGTCCGTGCTGGAGGCACAGGAACGGTGGTTCCTTGCAGCACCATTCGTGGGGACTCTGTCAGGTTTACGCAGACTTAGCTGTGTCTCCGAAGGAGGCAGGAGCGCCTTTGCAAAGGATGGAAATTCATTCGCTTCTTCTATCAACATGTCCTGGTTCTGCGGTTCCCCTAAAGGCTAAGAACATTTGATTTGAAGTTATCAACTGGATTAGAAATTCACATAATCCCCGATGTCCAGATTTTCATGTATAACTCATTTAAAATTCACACTATCTTTTTCAGGAGACCTTTTTGGTTTTTTAGCAGTGCTGGGATTGAATCCAGGGTCTTACACGTACGGGGCAAATGCTCTACCGCTGAAGTGTGTCACTGAGCCCTTACAGATGAAGAAACAATTGCAGGATGTCACAGATGGAAGCAGAGGCCAAACCTACCTTTTTTTTTTTTTTTTTTAACTATAACATTATTTAAAAAACTCATGGAAAATTATGTCTCTTTAGGTTTTTACAGAGAAAGGAAACAAACTAATTCTTATTTCTTTCTTGGTAATGAACAAATCAGCCAATGTAGGTACTGATTTATCTATATAACAAAATTACACAGGAATTATGACTACCTTAAAAAATAGATGGTTATCTTTATTTCCTATCTAAATTTTCCATTTTATCTCAAAAACAAAGAAAAATTACTGGAAGTAAGTTAGCCTACTGGCATTAAAATTGTGAATCACTATTGTGCTACTTGGCAAATGATTTCACTATATTAGTTTTTTTTTTCTTTTTTTCCCACTATATTAGTTTTAAAAAGTATTCCCAAACTAGGTTCACATTATAGTACATGTATCCAAAGAGTTTGGCTCCTTGGGAAGAAACTTCTAAGTACAATCTGAAAAAACTCCAAAGAGGCTAGGATTCAATAATCACAGGAATTATTTATAATCCCAGCACTTGGGAGGCTAAGGCAAGAGGACTGCCGTAAGTTTGAGGCTAGCCTAGGCTACATAGTGAGTTTAACTCTAGCCTGAATTACATAGGGAGACCCTGTCTTAAAAACAACAACAAAAACAAAAAAGTAGTTCACAGGAATTACTTACATTTCAAGGAACAGTATTAACTAAGATCAGAAAAGCACGAGGCATTAGGATGCCTGTAAAGAAACTCTTTACCAGTAGTGGTGTTTTCACTACAATGAAATACAGGGTTGGTATTAGCTCAGTGGTAAAGCATTTGCCTAACATGAAAAGGGTTCTGGGTTCAATTCCTGGCACTGCAATTTAAGAAACTAAAAAGACACCTTTATCTGTTTGAAATGAGCTGAAAAAACTGATTCTGAACTGACTAAAAACATGGAATTTTTCTGTGTTTTCTTATAATCTCTACTTTGTATTCTACTTTTTGTTTCCTTGTAAATCCAGTGGAACACAGTATGAAAGAAATTGTACAGATCTGCTGTTTGAATTTATGTAATTTTCTTCTTTGTTAGGACTATCAGAAAGCTTGGATAGATACTTACACAAAATAGATGTCACACATTGGTAAATGCACTAAGACTTGAATAGCAGATTACTGCAAAGCTATGAAATCAGAAAAGAGTTGATCAATTCCGTTTCCAGGGAACAAGAGCGGAGGTAAAATGATCACTCACTTATGCCACCCTTATAGACTGATATGACCTGGGCGACCTGCTGTAAACTTTCTGGGCTCAGAATCTACACTAAACAATAATCATTGCATAGTGCATGTGCTCATGCCAAGAACACCTGTTCGGTTTTACAACTTCATAGAACAACTGACTACCATGTCAATCTTTTCCAGGAATAATATCAGAAGAAATGGTATACAAAAATTTCCCAACGATCCATTTAAATCACTTAAGAGTAACTCAATAGGAGGGGTACAGAATATTAGAAAATCTGTTTTGCAAAAAGGTTTCAAATTATATAAAGGAATAAATGGACAGCTTTTAATGTTGACTGTTTTATACTTTTTTTTTTTTTTTTTATGGCGGAACCAGGGATTGAACTCAGATCCTTGCGTTTGCCGGTCAAGCACTTATCCTACTGAGCCATCTCCCCGGCCCCTGTTTTATACTTTTAAAAATGTCTCACACTGAGAAATATGAAATACACGCCATATTCAACAACCCTACAGCCCAGTGCTACACCAGTGTGAGTGGAATGGGAGCCCTGGCCAGGGGTGAAGAGGGGTGGCAAGGCTGGGAGGGCTGGAGAGGGCTCTGAAGGGGACAGTGCGCAGGTCTGTGGAAGGGAAGAGAGAGCGGGGGAGGGGGAGCAGCAGGAATTTTCTGGCATACTTTTCCTGCATATAAATAGCGAAGAGGCTCAGAGGCCAAAGCTAGCTTCTTCATGTCGAAGGCAGCAACCTTTTCAGTGAGCACAGACAAGAGGTGCAGCATTTGTTAACCAAACACCCATCGAATTATCGAAATAGCTTTCCCAGAAGAATAGTTTTAAGGCAGTTTGGATGTTTCTAAAACACCATCAAGGCTTGTCCAAAGTGCATACGGCTTGCAAGTTACTATGAATTCTCCAAGGAGGCAATGGAACTATACAGAAAAGCATAGAGACTAATCTACAGAGGCAAAACGTTACAGGAATGGCAGGAAAAATGAATACAAAAGATTGTCTATTTACATATATATAAAGCATATATTTTTACATCATTATAAATAGATACCTAAAGATATACTAAAGTATACAATTGAACAAACTTCATACTTACCTCAAAAGACTCAAAAATTCATACTCAAAAGTGTGGAAAAGTAATATTTTAAAACTTTCAATTAAAAAGTCCTTAAAAATGAAAATATACTTGTGAGTCAAACACTGACGAACAGATTCCCAGATGGCAAATCACGGTACTGAGGACAGAGTAGAAGTCTGCCCAAAGCAGCAGCTCTGTCCGGTCCCATCAGCTGTGCTGCTGCCTGGGGGTTCTCAGTTATAGTCCCTGCCTTCCCTGGAGACTCCACATCCATTCTCGGTCCAGACCTCCTTCCTGACAGAACTGCTTCTATCCATCTACGTGAGTGTCACATGTCGGTTCCTCAACTCGAACATGTCCACACACATAAACACAGACCTTCTGTGTCACCTCTGCCCCAGAAGAAAATCTGCACTTGAAAACAGTGGCCACTGTTTCCATGGACGATACACTGCCATCCCCTGCCAGGACAGAGGGGCAGGATGCTCTTTCCTGCCTCTTGCTCTTCACATCACCGAGTCAGTGATCACGGCCTAGGGATCCTGCTTTCTCCACAAATTCCTTTGAAAAGCATTCATTGTGTTCTCTGTGCTGCCTCAGGTCAGGTCTTAATCTCTCTTTCCCAGATTACTGTAACCCTTTCATAGTTAATTTGTGTTTTACTGTGGCTAGCGTGGGCTCTGTAAATGGTATGATACGAATTCCCAACTAATATCTGGTCCAAAGCTTTCCCACATCTCAATGAGCAAAAATTCAGATTTGTTATTAAAGCAAAACACCTCCTAGTCTTCCCCCTGCTTAGGAATGTATCATTTCTTCATCTCCCATGGAAAGAGCTGGAATAAAAACTACAGCAGGTGGTACTTGACAGACAGCACAAGAAGACTAGCTTTTGCCAGGCAGGCCATAGTTTTGTGACATCATGGGTGCTAGGGACAGAAAATAAGCTCCGGGACTGATCCCATGCTGGCGAATCTGGGACCCTCTCAATGGCTAGTCCCCAACTTGGTGGCTCACAAAGAAACTTGTTGTGTTTGAACACTAGCACTGAGTATAACAGGACTACTAGCCTTTGAGAATCTGAGGTCACATGTTGTCCCCACACAAGTCCACAGCCTAAACTTTCATTATCCAAATGATGTACAAAAATCTTGAGCCAAGACAAGTAATTTGGCCCTTACTAATTAATTACATGTGGGTGCAGAAAGCTATAAATTGATTGATGGTGGTACTGGGGATTGAAATCAAGGCCTTTCAGCTGAGCTACATCTCTAGTCCTTATTTGTAAAAAATTTATTTTGAAGCAGGGTCTCACTAAATTGCTAAGTCACTTCAGGCTTGAATTTGCTATCCTCTTGCCTAAGTCTTCCAGAGTGCTTGGATTACAGGCACGTATGCCCACATTTATCCTAGATTTTAAGAAAATTTAGCAATTAATTGATATCAGATCCTAAATCTCACAAGCAAAAATTCTGAGACAATGGGGGAACTCTGAACCTTGGACATTTGATGACATTAAAGAACTGTTATTTTTAAGAACTGTTATTATTGCTATAATGGCATTTTGGTTGTGGTTAAAGAAAGCTTAACTTTTAGATAGGAGGTATGATTAAAAAAATACAGTGAGGGCTTGGGGAGATGGCTCAGTAGAATAAGTGCTTCCCTGGCAAGCACAAGGGCCTGAGTTCAATCCCTGGTTCCGCCCCCAAAAAACAAAACAAAACAAAACAGCGAACGTTTAAATTTTAAAAATGTATTAGAAGACATCTTGCCATTAATCACCTTCAAATAACTCACCCTAGCTGTGAGTCCGAATCATCCCATTATTCTTGTCGCGCTCTGAGGTGGTTCTGCAAGTCCTCTTTCATGAGTGTCTAGCTGCGCTGTTGTGGCTGCCTTGCTGTTCAGAGTAAGTATAAAATGTTTTGACTGCGTGGAGCAGCCAGAAGCCACGCGGTGCGGATGCTGCGAGCAGGCTGCGCGAGGGCCGCCGTACTGTGTTCACGAGCCCGTCTTGCCACCGGCTGGCACACTGCAGCTGGAGTTTTGATCATGCCCTACAGACACTCGTAGAAGAGGACGTTCAGAGCTACCGCCGAGAGTGCCAGCAACTGCTTCTTGGCCTCTGGATAAGACCAAGTGCAAGAAAGGGGCGAGAACCGTGGGACGAATGTGTTCTAGGTCAAGTATTTCGGCCGGGATTCATGGCAACATGTCTTTTGCTATAATACATTCTAAACTTTCAATCATTCACGGTATGTTTCGATCACAGCTTGTAAGTGCTGCAATGTTTCTGGGTAAAACTCTGCAGTGCCTGTCCGAGAGGGAGGTCGGGGGTGAGAACACAGGTGAAAAAAACTGGCCAGGAGCTGGCTGTACCTGAGGGACCGGAACACGTGAGCTCATTACAGACCTCATCACAGGCAGAGCAGACTCAACGCTAGAAAGCGCTGCAATTTGCTACATTAACAGAGTGAATGTGAAAAATTCTAAGTGATGCGAAAAGTTACTGGGTAAAATTATTTATCCTGGGACTGGGGGAAAAAAGAGGAAACAAGATATGTCACATACAGACACAAATTTCCTATAATGGGTGTGGTCATCATGCATACTTACATTGTGCCAATAAAAGGGAGGAAATTAAAAAAAAAGATTATACATTCATCCACATGAATGTTTAATTTCTTAGTATAGTCCTAAAATATTTTTTAAAAGAGAGAAAAGAAACTACCTCCTAGCAAACTAGAAGAAGAAGAAAAATTTTCTTCTTGTTAAAGGGTATCACAAAAAACCCCAAAAGCCAAGGTCAGAAAATTACAACATCCAGCCCCAAGCTGGCCCCCTGCCTTTTTAATTAATAAAGTTTTAGTGGACCACAGCTGAGCTAATCATTTTTCATTGTTAATGGCTGCTTCTCCAGTGCAGAGTAGTGATGATAGAGTCTGTGTGGCCCTAGAAAACCTAAAATTTTATTCATCTGGCCTTTTCTTTAACCTGTTACATTTTATTTATTAAAAATGAACACGTTCAGAACAGAGCTAGATGTGAGTTTCCCAAAAACCACTGGAAAATCTAGCATACATCACCCCTCCTCAGATAAAGCTTTGCCTTCCTGAAGCACTGCAGCAATGCCCCACGCCCACCTGGACGCCAAGACAAAGTTAAGCTGCATCCTGTTTAAGAAAGGACATTTTAGGAACTGAACACGGATGATTGCAACCACATTCTGAGAAAGAAAGTATCCCGCCAGCAACACACTGCTTGTTTGTACACAACATGCCAGCATTCAGAGTTGTAACTGAGTTGTACGAATCTGAGCACGGCAAACATTCCTAACCTACAGCAAAAGCTTACCAAGAAATAAGGCTGCACCAGAAAGGAAGTGCCCTAAAAGCATGGGCTTTTTTAAATACTACAACCGCAATCTTACCTTTTGGAGAGTGTTAAAAAATGACTTGAATTTATTTTTAGAATTGGCCTGAGCTGAAGTTTTACTTAATTTAGACTCTTTTTCACATCGTGCTAATTCCTTTTTGAGCTTTTCTCTCCGTTGCTGGTCTGCATCTAAATGGGAAAACAGACTTTTAAAATATGCAACAAAACACACTTAATTATTTTTTTGGTTTTGTTAAGACTAAAGGCATGAATCATTTTGCTTAATAAAAATTATTACAGTATGATGTATGAATAAAATCTATATATATATATATATATATATTTCTATAAAGATACTTCATGGGAATTCTAAATGAGTTGACTCAAAAGCACAAACACGATGGGACATCCTGGGCAAGACTAAGGGCATAAGAAAGCAATTCCCAGCAGGTATTAGTAGGTACATGAAGGTCTGAAATGCTTAACCACATTGTGGCCATGTAACCACCCAATGTATGGTTTGGTTAGTCTACAGACTTCTCCCCCAAATAAAATATACTATTAGCAGTGTCATATGCTATTAAAATATTAAATATAACATGACCTTAAAAATGAGACTAGGTCAGGGTGGTGGTGCACAGCCTACAGTGCCAGCTACCCAGGGGCGGAGGCAGGAGATCACTTGGGCACAGAAGGTCAAGGCCTGCCTGGAAACACTGTGTGAGACCCTGTCTCAGAACAACGAACCGACCAAAACAAAACCAAAGAACCTCAGGAAAACAGTTTGACAGCTGCTTAAGAAGTTAAACATATTACAGTAGTCCTCTCATCTAGGGAGCGTTCGTGCCAAGCCCCCGTTGAATGACAGAAGCTGTGGGTAGCTCCAGGCTCTATGTAGTCACTACATTTTCTATCCATACCTATGATGAAATTGAACTTATAAACTAGGTAATGTAAGACACAAGAGCAGTAAAAATAGAATAACTAACAATATAGTGTAATAGATTTTACCACATTACTAAGAATGGCATAATTTAAAAATTTATGCATTATTTCTGTAAGTTTTCATTTAATATTTTCAGACTTCAATTGACCACAGTTACTAAAACATCAGCAAATGAAACAGCAGAAAAAAAAAAAAAAAAAACCTCCTTGCCAAAGAGGAAAGTGATCGATGACGTAGAGTGGGCCTAAGGAGAGTCACATGGAGAGAAGACACTCTCTCAGGCTTTCACAGAGAGCACATTGGCCAAGCAATGGCCGTGACTCATCCACATGGCTGCACTGATAAAGGTTCTACAATCTGAGGTACAGGATCTCAGGACAAATCCTGAGGGCATTTCACTGACCTTCACAGACCAAAAAGCTACAACTCTTGTTGCATAGGTCCTGCTTTACCTTGGTCTTAACCATCCAGTAGAAAAGTATGAAGTCGAAATATAAGAAATAAAGCCATGCTGTTAAGTTGAGCTGTGGGGGACTCAGGTCAATAATTTCTGACATTGCCAGTTAAACAGAAGACCCAATGCTATTATGGGCTACTGGACTCTTTTAGAATATTTTGCTGAGTTTACACACCTATAATATTCAATAACGGAACTTAGAAAAAATGGGGTATACCGATGAATGTCCATTTTGTTTCTGTGTATTCAAAGAGGTTGGGATAGATATATAGTTGCATTCTCTTAATGAATAGAATGATTTGTTCTAATGGTGTTTGTAAATAGGATCACAAGTCCGCATCTTGTACAGCAATTAACCACTAAGAAGAATATATGCAGTGTATTATTTGTTGAAACTGTACTTCCGATTTGATTTGAAACTGTCTCATTGCTATCTGTTTATCAATAAAACTTTGAAAAAAAAACCAAAACAAAAAAAAACCTCCAAGTAAGAGGCAACTACTATATTACCATGTGATACAGCATGTCTACTTTCAGTAATGTAAATTTTTCAATGAAACTGTTATAAAAAGTAAAGCCTCTCTATACCTTATAAATACATACCTTATGAATACATAATTTTATGTCAATTAAAATGAATGTTTAATTAAATGTCTAAAGAGAAAATAATTTCAAAAGATTAAGAGGACATGTCCCGATCATCACAAACATAATAAAGTCTAGCTATCATATTAGAGTATAGAACTATTTAAAACAATTATATAGCAGTTTTGACACTATGAAGACTGAAATGGTGACCTCATCAGTCTGTGACCCTAAAGTGTAGGGAAAAGAGAGATGGGAACTGGGTGTGGCTACTGGGAGGCTGAGGCAGGAGGATCAGAAATTTCAGGCCATTTCTGGGCACCCTAGTGAGTCCCTGTCCCAAAATAGGATGGAAAGAGGACTGGGCTGTAACTCAGTGGTACAGAGCTTGCTAACACACACAAGGCCCTGGCTCAATCCCTGGTTCTGTAAATAAAACAAAACAAAACCAACCAACCAAACAGTAATAACAAAAAACAGAGATGGGTTAAATCCAGATTTATTTCCTTTATTTTTTTGATACAGGGACTCACTAATCAGTTCTCGGCCCTGTGCTCACTTTTGTAGTCCCCAGGATGGTCTCAAACTCACAGAGATCCTCCTGTTTCAAGCTCCCAACTGCTGGGATTACAGGTGTGCAACACCACACCCGGTTCTGGGGTTGCCACAGCATGCGGTACCGGGACTGACCTCCAGACCTCACACTTACAGAGCAGGCACTTAGGCCACTGTGCTATCTCTCCAGCCCTATTTATTTTTTTAAAAATATGTTATAAAACCTGCTTCTAAGCCAAACTGACAGCAATGAATATCAGCTCTGTAGTATAAGGAGTTTTAATGATACTATTTTAAAGATAGTTTAAAATTTACAATCTTTACAATTCTTCTAGTTCCAGCTATCATAAGGTTTTCTGTCTAGCAAAAAAGGAAAAGCAAACTCATGTCTGAACTGCCTGCAAGCAAAAAATATCATGTATAAATACTAAGTCTAAATTTTAATACCAAAAATGGAAGCCAGCCTTCCTGCCAGTGTTTGTTGAGTTGGGCCGCCCCTGCTCACCCTGAAACTGCTGGAGAGACCTGGAACCCAGAAAAGGCAGGGGTAGCTATTCTGGTTGTTGACAGTGTTAACTTCAAACCAAGTGTGGTTAAAAGAGACAAAGAAAGTCACTACATACTTGTTCGGTCTTTAGTCACCCTTGACCCTTTCCCTCTTCCATCTTATCTTTCTTTCCCCCATTAAATCCATTCCTAAGCACTAGTGGCACACAGGAAGTGTTTCCAGAGTCTAATCATTCTGATCTGTCTCCACTACTACTCCAGCCGCCACTATTTCTCATGTGGGTTATCCTTTTATCCTGGTACATTTCCTTTTGCATTTATCACCATCTGACTATAGTCTACTGATTTGTATCTGCTTGTTGTTTGTCCGGTCTAGCTACAATGTAAGCTCCAAAAGCAAGAAACTTGTTTCATTTAGCCCTTTAACTCTAGTCTTTAGAACAGTGTATTACGCACAGTAGGGACCCAATACATATTTTCTGAATTAGTCAATGAATAAACTCTAGTGAACTAAGATATTATAAAAAGTGACTGATTTTGCAACTGGTGAATTTGGATATTAGGTTTAAATTTTGTTGTTTTACTTTTAAAAGAGAAGACGTAGCTCATCATATTGAGGAACACATAAAGACAACAAGCAACAAATTTTCCTGTACCCACTATCATAGCTAAGCAGCTGGACAGCTAATCTGTGAGTTTGGGTCTGACTCTAGAACTGGAACACTCCAGAGGAAGAGCTAGTGCGGTAATCTTCTGTGCGACTTACCCTCTGAAGAGGATATTCTGTTTTCAAACTTGCTTACAAGCCGGGCATGGTTTCTATGCAGCCCAGGCCAGCTCAAATCTGCAGTCCTCCTCCCCCCAGTTTCCAGGGTGCTGCGACCACTGTCACGTGTAACCATGCCCAGCTTCTGGGCCAGATTTTGACATATAGGAAAAACAAAATCCAATGATATTAAATAGTTTATCTAATGCTACACAGTAAGTTAGTGGCAAACTATGGGTTCAGCTCTAGGTTCTTAAATCTAGAAATACACAACAGGCTTCTGGTACTTAAAACATTAAGCATTAGAAAGGCTTTCTCAAAAGATAATACATCAACACCCTCTATCATGGCTACTATCAGAACATAAAAAACAAGTGTTGGGAGGAATTTGGAGAAATTAGGACAGGTGTGTGGATTGGTACAACATAAAATGCTATAACCATTTCTCAAAAAGCTAAAAATAGAACTAGCATGTGAACCATAATTCTGCTTCTAGGCACAAATGCAAAATATTTGCAAGTGGGGTGTGCTAAGTCACCTTTCCACCTGTGACGAAACAGCGCAGGGAAGTAAACTTGAAGCAGGACTTATTCCTGCTCATGGACACAGGAAGTTAGCCCTGGGCCGAGGCTGAAGCCGCTTGGTGAGGGCGTGGGGGCAGAAAGCTGCTTACCTCCTGCGAGCCAGGAGGCAGAGGGACTGGCAACGAGCCCCAGAGAAGGGCACCAGGGACCAGACATAGTCCTCAAGGCCACAATCCTGTGATCCACCCCTTCAGCAGGCCCTGCCTCCTGTTTCCTAACAGGGCCACCACATTCTGTTCTTATCAGTGGCTTCATCTGTGGGCAAAGCCAGAGCCCTCAGGAGGCAATCTTTCCCCAGTGGCCAGCAGCAAAGCCTTCCGCACAGCGAGCCTTTTGTGGGCTACTTCGGATTCCAACCACAACACGGGGTCTGAGAGAGAGGTTTCCATACCTACACCCAGAACAGCATTATCGCAACAGCCCAAAGGTGGAACCAACTCAAGTACCCATCGACTGTTGAATGTGTAAACAAAATGTGGCATACGCACACAGTGAAGTTTTGCTCAGCTCTAATGAAGAGCGATTCAGACATATTACAGCATGAATAAACCTTGAGAACATTATGCTAAATGACATAAACCAGGCACAAAAGAACAAACACTGACTGAGTCTACTTGAGAAACTCAGAATAATGAAATTAATGGAGACAGAAAGCAGATGGTGGACAGGAGTCAAATTCATACAGATAGAAAACACAATGGAGGGTTCCAGGGCCTGGGAGGGGAGCTTCGGCTTAACTGGTACCTGGTACAGATGTTCTGGACACCAGTGATGGTGGTGGTTCAACCAAAATATAAACGTACTTGCTGCCACTGGAATAAACACTTAAGAATGGCTACGATGCTAAGATTTATGTGTTGTGTATCTTACTATAATCTTTTAAAAAAAAGGGCTGGGGAGAGAGCTCAGTAGAGTAAGTGCTTGCCTGGCAAGCGCAGGGTCCTGAGTTCAATCCCTGGTACCACAAAAAAAAAAAAAAAAAAAAAAAAAAGTGGCAGATGTCCAACGTAACTTACATTTGATGCTGGCACTCATGCTCGCTGGAATCGAGCAGTCAACAGCAGCTGAAAGAGACAATTTTTTTGTTTAATAATATTTTTGGTATTTAGAAATGACAGTACATATTAAAGTGGAAATCACAAAATGTTCCAGAATATGTAGTTCCTTGTTTGATTTTTATTGTACTTATGGAGATGAAAAACAAAATATCTTTGATAAAAAACACACTGAGAAAAAAAGTTTAGAACTACTGGGAGTAGTCATTACACTGCAAAAGAAAGCAGGCAGCACCGCACTGTTACAGGGAAGTGCAGGGGACGCAGGCTGACGACAAGCGAACAATGCAGCCCTGAGGTAGTACCACGCCCATTAGCGCCTCAGCACTCTGCTAGCACCCTCAATCAAGCTAGAATGGAGGACTCACAGCACACATCTCAAGGCTTACTGTAATGGTGGGATAGTACAGGAATGTGGGCTGGCATGAAGCTGGGCATGCAGACGAACAGATTCAAGATTAAGTCCAGAGAGAAGCACACACATATGGGCAAATGATTTAAAAAGTATTAAGGTAATCCCACAGGGGAATGATAATCTTTTTATCAACTGGTAATGGAAAATTTGGAGACAGACAGGCAAAATAGGACCTTTGTATCATAGTATATATAAAAACTAATTCAAATGGATCAGACATTTAATGTAGAGAGCTAAACATATACAACTAGAAGACTAATTTACAAAACTGTAGTGACCCGAGATTAGCAAAGAAACTTTAGGGGCCGGCCAAATAGCTCAGCGGAATAAAGAGCCTGCAAGCAGGCACAGGGGCCAGGGGTTTGATCCCCAGGCCTACCAGGCTGGCCCTGCCCCCGGAGAGTGCTGAGTCAGCAATGGAGACTGGGCTGGTGGTGCGCCCCTGTAATCCCAGCTCTTGGGAGGCTGTAAACAGGCGGATCACTAGGAGTCTGATCTAGTCATGAGACCCTGAACACCCTGTAGACCCTTCCCTAAGAAAAGAAATACAAAGAAAGAAAGAAAGAAAGTAAGTCTAAAATTTATTCCAGGATAAAAATGTAAAAATAAAACAAAGGCTGAGTATGTAGTTCAGTTGTGTAGTGCTTGCCTAGCATTCATGAGGCTCTAAGTTTGATTACCAGAACTGCGATGGTTACAAGATACTGTAAAATGGGAATAAACCTGACAAGAAAAGATAAACTGGGATGGGGGAATGGAGAAAAAGAAGGGAAAAGCAGAAAGAAAAAATATACAGTAGCTCCTCGCTATTATGTGGTTCAACTTGTGCAGACTCACTACTTGGCAAGTTTTCAAAAAATACTCATCTAAATTATTTATTGCGTATTTTTTTTCTATATCAGGGGATTATGCAGTACCAAACAGTATCTGTATGCTGTTAAAACTATGTAGGCTTATGAGTTTTGAAAATGGTTAAGAATATTAGAAGTGGGGCTGGAGAGATGGCTCAGTGGTCTAAAGCACCTACTTGGAACAAGCTTGGCAAAGCACAGGGACCACAGTTCGATCCCCCAGCACCACATGCCAGCCAGCCCCGCCCCCTGGTGGGCTGAGCTGGCCACACACACACACACAATAAATAAATGTAAAATATAAATAAATAAACAGCGGAATACATTAAAAAAAAAAAAGAATATTAGAAGTGTTTTTAAAAGTGTGGGAAAGGTTTGTAACAGTGTGGGAAGGTTTATAAAGCCTTAAAATATATATAAATACTAAAATAAATATACGTCCTACTCTGCTGACTTTCACGTATCCCAGGGGTGTCTGCAACGCAACCTCTGCGCTAAGTGAGGGGCCGCTGCATATATAAAAGGCAGTTAAGATAATTATACTAAGTTCTTTTAGTTCTTTTCAGAAAGGTTTGTGCTAATGACTGAACACTTAAAGGCCGATATCTTGTACTCTGAGCAACTAACTTAAAGATAACAGTATGCAATGTATTAACCTTGTTATCCTATCATCTTGTTTTGATTTTTTTTTTCTCTTTAAAATATAAAAAAATAGGCAAAGGTTTGAACAGGCATTTTACCAAGGAAGATCTATGGATGGCAAATGAGTATAAGAAAAGTTGCTTAATATCACTAGGCACCAGGGAAATTTTGCAAATTACAACTATGGAGAGATACTACTTCATACCCATGGCTAAAATGACCAAAAAAGGGCTGCTGATACCATGTTGGTGAGGATGGAGAAGTAATGGGAATGCCAGCTTGTATAGTTGCTCTGAAAGGTAACTTAGCAATGTCTTAACAAGTTAAACAAATTTACCATATTATGTCTCAGTTTCACTTGTATCAAATAAACTTACCCAAGTGAAACAGAAACACATACCCAAAGGTTACATGAGGGCTGGTGAGATGGCTCAGTGGTCTAAAGCACCTACTTAGAACAAGCTAAGCTAAGCAAAGCACAGAGACCACGGTTCAATCCCCCAGCACCACATGCCAGCCAGACCCGCCCCCTGGTGGGCTGAGCTGGCCACACACACACACACAATAAATAAACAAATAAATAAATAAATTTAAA